GGGCTCCCTGCTCGGCAGGGAGTCTGCTTCTCCCTCTGACCCTCCTCCCTCTCATGCTCTCTGTCTCTCATTCTCTCTCTCGCAAATAAATACAATCTTAAAAAAAAAAAAAGGATTCCCTTAAAACTTCAAGACCATATTATTGCACAAGACCAGGATTTCTTTCAGTAAGAAACTAACTATTTTGGACAGATATTCGAGAAAAATTATTGCCTTCATCTAAGTAGCCTTATTACCACCTCTAATAAGTGGGATATTCCAAAACACAAGCCAAACTCTAAACTACTACCTGAGGCCTGTAGCTTCAACCAACAACACAGTGTATCTCATTCCAAGTAAAGCTAAAGAATTCAATATGAAAAACTGCCATTCAATCCTATCAAAGTGCAGCCAACCAAACTTACATGAGGAAAACAGTTTAATACTAACCATACATTCCTCTACTGGCTTCAGCTCTAACCCTGCATAACCACACCATTGGTTTAGTTTCCCACTAAAAGGTTTTTACTGGGGGCGCCTGGGTGGGTCAGTCGTTGAGCGTCTGCCTTTGGCTCAGGTCATGATCCCAGGGTCCTGGGATCGAGCCCCGCGTCAGGCTCCCTGCTCTGCGGGAAGCGTGCTTCTCCCTCTCCCACTCCCTCTCCCACTCCCCTTGCTTGTGTTCCCTCTCTCGCTGTGTCTCTCTCTGTCAAATAAATAAATAAAATCTTTAAAAATAAATAAATAAATAAAATGTTTTTACTGGATTATGTCTAATGTTATACCCTCAAATTCTAGGGATCTATCCAAAAGAGAACCATGTGAACAATGTTTTTGTATCTTCTGTAAAATTCCTGTTGAAGACACTGCTCATCATCATTTTAGGTTAATATTTACATGACAAGTTTTCCTTGGATTGAGAAAGAGCAAAGGATTCTCTCCTAAAAACTTGTTATGTTCCTTTTTATCAGATAAGAACTAATAATAATCGATGTGTTTCCTTCTGGAATGTAGTTCAAGTATACCAGTGCTTGAAAACTACTAAATTCTATTCCTCAAGTACAATTATAACCTTTCCTTGGTTTTCAGGTAAACATTTCCTCCCATTCCATCTTTATGGTTTCTGAGCTCCCCGACTTTAACATTTCTTTTGCATGTATGTCCTCACCCCGAACCACCTCAAATCTTTAGAATGAGATGCAGTACCAAGAACAACAAAAAATAAAAACAATGAAATAGATCTAAAGCCTGCCTTAGGAGTAGGATCAGAAACTCTTCTGACCTTCCCTAGGATTTACCAAGAGGGAGAGAAATTCGGTGGTTTGCCTGGTAAATGCTCTTTGTCTTGATGACAAAACTATGCCACCCAGGACACCAGTGAGCATACTTTTCAACTGAGTGACATCTGAGGCAATGATTAGGAAGCAACATTTGTCCATGGATATTTTTCCTCTTCTCTCCTTGTTCTTGTCCCTTTTTACCTTATTATTTGGTGTTACCTCAGGCCTATGGGGAACACTTAGGTATGAGAAAAGTGATACTGGAATTTAAAAGTACTGCATATTTGTCAGACTATATACTCAGAGCCATTGCACTGTTTGTGCTCTACATCTCACAAAGAAAAGTCACAAGGGAGACATTTAGAGCTTCAGCATTTACTGAACACTGAATAATTCATTTGAAATCGATAGAGCTACATGAGCCGTTAGCTTAAGAACTGAAATCAAAGTTCTGTTTCTGGTAGGTAACATTCCTTACACTCAAAAAACATCCCAAAATTTAAAACAAATATTCAACTACCCATCTCTTTAAAATACCTATATAGCAGCACAGTTTTAATTCAGTCTGACTCTAGCCCATTTAACACCTCAATTTAAAAAGCCATCTAAGTACTACACGATGTTATATATTAGTCTGTTCAATTTCAGTGTTTTCCTTTCTTATATTTTAATTTGGAATCTTTACATCATAAAAGGTTCAGATTAGAAAAGCCATTATTAGCGGCCCTCTTGGCGCAGTGGGCAGCGCGTCAGTCTCATAGAAAAGCCATTATTTACTGACAGTCTTAAGTATACCAAGTACAAAGGCTGAGATCAAAGATTAAGAATAAGGAAGGGAAAAAAGTTAAATGACATATTTTACTCACCAGGGCTATTATATAAGTGTGTGTGCATGTGTGTGTTCGCACGCACATGTGGGTGTGTGTGTACATGTACTTTTCTTTAGGAAACATTTTTTCCTTTTAGGGAAACAAGGCACTTCTAACCAATCTCAACAGCCAATTCTGATTCTCATTCTCAGAAATAAATTAATTTTGCACTATGTACTTTTTAAACAAGTTTACGCAGCAGAGGAGGTGGGAGAAGAGGCCTGGGGAGGCTTACGTTACTTGCTGGTTTTAAATCTTTCCAGCTTTTTGAAAAAAGCATCTTCAAAAAATTTTCTGCCTGCACTGCAGATTTTTGGCAGTGTAACTTTGTCCTATTTCAAAAGCTTTGCTGAATTTGAGAAACTACAATTACTGTTTTCATCCTGTCATGTCAAAAATTCTTAGGAATATTAAGGCTGCTCTTCATTTCCTATGCACACCAACCCTGACATGCTTAAAGGGCTCAGATTTGGCATTCAGTCACCAAAGGCACCAAAAGACATAAAATGGAGGAACTCAGCTAAATCCTCCCATAGCTCAGGATAAAGCTTCAGTGATTAAAAACCTGTGACCTGATTTTCATGGGTAAAAAAACAAATACTTCTTTGTGGGCGCCTGGGTGGCTCAGTCGTTAAGCGTCTGCCTTCGGCTCAGGTCATGATCCCAGGGTCCTGGGATCGAGTCCCACATCGGGCTCCCTGCTCGGCAGGAAGCCTGCTTCTCCCTCTCCCACTCCCCCTGCTTGTGTTCCTGCTCTCACTATCTCTCTCTGTCAAATAAATAAATAAAAATCTTAAAAAAAAAAAAACCAAATACTTCCCTAAACCAATATTTTATCTACCTTTAAATTTCTTCTTAGCAAGATTATCCTAATGGCAGCCAAGAAAATGCAGCTGCTTTCAGTTACATTTAGCCAAAAAGTGATCTGGAAATAAGTTAAGGTATCAGGACTAACTCTTAAACCAGGTAACATTGCTCCGCTTTGTAAGGTAAAGCATAAAGTTTTATCTTAGGCAAGGAAGTTGTAAATACTTAATTACGAACACCAAATTATTTTGAATTTTAGGTTAAGATGGAGAGAAACAGTTATGTCCATCAGTGAGCAAAGATCAAGACAAAGAAGTATTCTTTGCAGACTGCAAATCCAATCAGCTTATGATTTTGCTCAAGAAAAATATCTTGCCTTCAAAACAACTGGGAAAGGAGAACTGGCCCACATATAAGTCATTATATTACACAGTTTCATACACAACATATACATGAAAAAAATTTTAATCCTTTTACCTTGTCTTATCCAATGAACTAGGGAACCCATTTCTACAAGGCCATATTAAAATAGTATGAGACCTGAATATTATAACTGAATTAAAAAAAACCTCTTCAACTGAGTCAGTTTTCCAATTTCTGTTATTCTTCATCAATCTTAAGAAAAAGGAGCAAAGGGTAGGAAAGGGATGATTCTTTAAAATAAAGCTGTTAGGTTAGATATACATGTAAATTAAAATTTTATAGTAAAAAGAATAACAACTCTGCCCCCAGAAGAGCAATGTTTTCCCTGAGCCAAAACAGACTGCTTAGACAGTTTTTGGCGTTCTTAGAAAACTACCTGTATTTAAGAAAGAAAATTAAAGTGCATTTCTTGAAATACAATGAAGACCTTTGTAAGGAATCATGTTATATAATGTTTGAGTTACTCTGGTAACAGAATAATGGCTCTCCAGAGAGGCTCACATCTTATTCTCTGGAATTTGTAAATATGCTACCTTACATGGCAGACAGACTTTTGCAGATGTGATTAAGGTTAAGGAGTTTGAGATGGAACGATTATCCTGGATTATCTGGGTGGGCTCAATCAAATCACGAGTCCTTAAAAGCAGTGAACCGTCCCTACTATGGCCAGAGATAAAGATGCGATAACAGAAGGGTCAGAGAGAAGGAAAGCTGCTATTGCTGAAGATGGAGGAAGGAGGTCACTAGCCAAAGAATGTGGGTGTGGCCTCTAGAAGATGGGCTTTAAAAGCAAGGAAATGAACTCTTTCTTTGAGCCCCTAGAAAGGAACACAACCCTGCTGACACTATGATTTTAGCCCATATCAACTACCCCACAGAACTATAAGATAATAAATTTTCACTGTTCTAAGCCACCAAGCTTGTAGTAATGTGTTCACCAGCATAAAAAACTAGTACAGTACCCTATACCCTATAACGGGATGTCCTGTTAACAAAATTTGCCTACTGAACTAGTATAATTTAAGGTAGTCTTCCATAAAAATTTGTAAATATATGCTTTAAATCCATTTTAACCCTTTCAGACAATGGTCCAATATTAAGTGTTACAACTGCGTGAGTCAACAGACCTTGTTGCCATGTGACAAAAACAAGTTCGCCTAAGTGCAAAAACAAGTCTGTGATGCCAAACAGAAGCCAGTACCAGGTGACCACCCTTCCCCATTCCGGTAGATTACTCACTCAATGAATTCCTCTTTACACCGCTGTAGCATCTCACATGTCTGCTGGATCTCTTGCTCACTCAAAAGCACCAACATCCCAATGGTTAGGTGAAGCTTTTTGGGATTCTGGAAAATGGTGCTGTCAACCCCATGATCCTATTATCAAAGAGAGAAAAACAAAAAACTCAGCCCACATTAAAGTAAATGGCAGGAACAAAATTTAGAGTCCAAAGGTAAGCCCACATATCTATGACCAATTGATTTTCAACCAGATGCCAAGACAATTTAATGGAGAAAGAAGAGTCTCCTCAACAAACGGTGCTGGGACAACTGAATAACCACTTGCAAAAGAATGAAATTGGACCCATACCTCATACCATATGCAAAAATTACATCAAAATGGATCAATGACCTAAATACAAGAGCTGAAACCATAAAACTCTTAGAAGAAAGAGTTTTCTTAGGGGAAAATCTTTATGACCTTGGACTTGGCCATGGATTCTTAGATAGGAATTCAACAGTATGGGCAACAGAAGACAAAAATAGATAAATGCAACTTCACCTAAATTAAAAACCTTTGTATATCAAATGACACTATTAAAAAGTGAAAACACAACCTACAGAATGACAGAAATATTTGCAAATCATATATCTGATAAAGGTGTATATCCATAATATATAAAGAACACAACTCCATAACTAGAAAATAAAGAACCTAATTTTTAAAATAGAAAATGAACTTGAGGGGTGCCTGGGTGGCTCAGTCAGTTAAGCATCTGACTCTTGATTCTGGCTCAGGTCATGATCTCAGGGTCATGAAATCGAGCCCCACCTTGGACTTCACCCTGAGCATGGAGCCTCCTTAAGATTCTCTCTCTCCCTCTACCTCTCCCCAACACTCAAAAAAAAAAAAAAAGAAAGAAAATGAACTTGAGTAGACATTTTTCCAAAGAAGAAATACAAATAGCCAACAAGCACATGAAGATGTTCAACTTCGTTAATCATTAGGAGAATGCAAATCGAAACCACAAAAAGGTACCATTTCATATCCACTAGGCTGGCTATAATCAAAAAAGCAGAAAATAACAAATGCTGGCAAGGATATGCTTAATGGGTACAGAATTTCCTTTTGGGGTGATGAAAATGTTTCAGAATAATACAGAGCTGGTAACTGCACAACTCTGTAAATGCACAAAAGGCCACTGAATCATTCACTTTAAAATGGTTAATTTTGTGTTATGTGAAATTTACCTCGATAAAAAAAAATTTTTTTTTAAAAAGGAACTGGTAGCCCGATAGAATGGCATGCCCAAGAGAAACAAATGCCATCTAAATGTAGGCTCTAGGAATATCTTTTGCTCCTTTATGAACTTTGCTGGCCCAGAGCAACTGGGCCTCTTACACGATTCCCTAAAGAACAATATACTCTCTATAAAAAACGCTGTTTCTATCTTAGCAGACACTGCAGGTAAAATATTATGTGTTAAGAATAAATTCTCCCAAGCAGAGAGATGAGTGAAAAATGAATTTGGAGAGATATCCAGACACTGGAGTTGCCACATCAAATACAGTCATCCTTTTTTGTCATTCATTATTCCTTGCACTTTAAAACATTTGTCTCTGGGTAGCAAAAATAGTAAATATGTGGGAGCCTGGGTGGCTCAGTCGGTTAAGCGGCTGCCTTCGGCTCAGATCATGATCCCAGAGTCCTGGGATCGAGGCCTGCGTTGGGCTCCCTGCTCCGTGGGTAGCCTGCTTGTCTGTGGGGAGCCTGCTTCTCCCTTTCCCTCTGCCTGCCGCTCTGCCTACTTGTGCTCCTTCTCTCTCTCTGTCAAATAAATAAAATCTTTAAAAAAAAATAGTAAATATACTCATATATCTCCCTTCTTAAAAAAACTGAATGAAAGTCACTTACCATTTTAAAGTGTACAATTTAGTGATCTTTATTGTATTCACAATATTGTGCAACCATCAGCCCTCCTTAGTTTCAAAATCTTTTCATCCCATAGAAACACTCCATAATCATTAAATAATCATTCCCCATTCCCTATCACTCATCCCCTGGTAACCTCTAATTTGCTTTTTGTCTCTTTGGATTTGCCTATTCTGCATATAGCATATAAAAGGAATCATAAAATATATGACTGCTGTGTCTGGCTTTTTTCACTCAGTATGTATTCAAAGTTCATCCAAATTGTACCATGTATTGGTACTTCATTACTTTTTATGGCTGAGTTATATTCCATTGTATATATATAACATATAACATACAAACTTGTTTATTCATTCATCCCTTACTGGCCATTTGTGTTGTTTCCATCTTATGGCTATTATGAATAATGCTGCTATAAACATTCATGTACAAGTTTCTGTGTTACCATGTTTTCAGTTCTTTTCAGTATAAACCTAAAAGTGGAACAGCTGGGTTAATATAGTAATTCTAATGCTGGGTTAATATAGTAATTCTAATGCTTAAATTTTTGAGGAACCACCAAACTGTTTTCCACAACAGCTGAATCATTTTACATTCTTAGCAGCACTGTACAAGGGTTCCTATTTCTCTCCACCTTTGCCAACACACTTTCCTTTTGAAATTTTATTATAGCCATCCTAGTGGGTACGAAATGGTATTGCATTGTATTTTGATTTGCATTTCCCTGTTGACCTATGATGTTGAATATCTTCTCATGTCCTAGCTGGACACCTCCTCTGGAGAAACGTCTATGCAAATTCTTTGCCCATTTTCTATCTTTTTATTGTTGAGTTGTACGAATTCTTTAAATATCCTGATACTAGTCCCATGTCAGATCATGAATCCCTTTTGAAGGAAGTAGGTCTCAAGTTTCATTATATGCATCCTGCAAATGAAGACAAGAAAAAGAGTTGAGAATCTTCTCCTTCAAAAAGAGCAAAGCAGGAATTTTATCTCTGAAGTGCAAGTTCTGGACCCATAATCTGATTCTTGGGCTAATAAACCACCCCAAAGGCAGAGAAATATATCTATCAAACACAGATAGCTTACCTTCTGTTCTTGGCTTGCCTAAGACTGCCTAATTTTTGCCTCAGCAACGGGAGTTAACAGATTATTCATTTTCTAAGTGTTAATGGAGCTTGAGCTATTTTTATATCTGATGAAGAGTTTTGTGATTCTACACATCAACCCAAATTGCCTCACTTAATGGAAGTGATTTTAAGGAACAATCAGCTTTAAATGTGTCAAGGAAGGCTAAGTGCAATGTTTATCACCCCAGTTGCTCTAACCCATGGCAGAACCTATCACTTTAGAAAGGCATGCTAAGTGTTAAAAAGTCCCTCAAATGATTCCAATATGCACAACTCCATCCCAAACTACAGTTGAGAATTGCTCCCCTAGTAATAAGAGCTAATATTTTTTTAGCCCTTATTCTGTTCCAGGCATTTCCTATGCACTTTACATAGACAAACAGCCTATGAGGAAAGATGTATTATCCCCATTTTACAGATGAGGAAACTGAGCTGAGGCACAGAGAAATAAAGTCACTTTCCTTTTTTTTTTTTTTTTAAGATTTTATTTATTTATTTGAGAGAGAGAGAATGAGAGACAGAGAGCGTGAGAGGGAGGAGGGTCAGAGGGAGAAGCAGACTCCCTGCCGAGCAGGGAGCCCGATGCGGGACTCGATCCCGGGACTCCAGGATCATGACCTGAGCCGAAGGCAGTCGCTTAACCAACTGAGCCACCCAGGCGCCCCAAAGTCACTTTCCCAAAGTAACACTGCTAGTAAGGGATGAGGCCAAAATCCAAACCCAAGCAGTGAGGCCACAAGCCTACACTTTTGATCAATATTATATTGCCTCACTAGTAACAGCCACCTAGAGAAGGATGGAACAAATGTGATCATCACCCAGAGGCAAGCCCTCACACATTTCAACAAAGCTCACACAATAAATGGATCTGATCACTAGACGCAGAATAAAGCAAATCTCATAATTCTCTGAAAAGTGATATTTGCCTTTCCTTGATGTGACACCACAAAAACACGATCTATAAAAGAAAAGGGATGAATTAAACTTGATCAAAATTAAAAACTGTACTTCAAAAGACTCCATTAAGAAAATGAAAAGACAAGCCACAGAGAAAACTATCTGGGAGAAAAATACTTACAAATCATCTATCTAATAAATATAAATACATAAAAATTCTTAAAATTCAATAATAAAAAGATATATAATTCCATTTAAAAATGAGCAAAGAACCTGAATAGACATTTCACCAAAGAAGATATACTAATGACTAAGAAACATGTGAAAAGATGCTTAATATCATTAGTCATCAAGGAAATGCACATCAAAACCAAAAATGAGATATTGCTTCACGCCCCCATCAGAATGACTACAATCAAAAAGACAGACAGTAAGGACATGGGGAAACTGAACTGCTCCCACATCGCTGGAGTAAAAGGCCATGACATACACAACGCATTCTAAAGTGGTTCAGAAAGAAAGAAAAACGAGAGGAAGAATGATAAAACAGAATAAAATACTAACAATAGGTGAGTATGAGTAAAGGGCACTATCCTTAGTCTTACAACCTTTCTGTGATTTTAAAATTATTAGTATCCTATTGCTGCTGTAACAAATTACCACAAATTTAGTGGTTTAAAACAACACAAAGTTAGGGTGCCTGGGTGGCTCAGTCGTTAAGCGTCTGCCTTTGGCTCGGGTCATGATCCCGGGGTCCTGGGATCGAGCATATCGGGCTCCCTGCTCGGCAGGAAGCCTTCTTTTCCCTCTCCCACTCCCTCTGCTTGTGTTCCTGCCCTCGCTACCTCTCTCTCTGTCAAATAAATAAACAAAATCTTAAAAAAAAAAACAAAACCCACAAATTTACTGTCTTACTACCTAGCAAAAGAAAGCTCTAGAACTTTTCCTTCCTTATGTTATTCTTTGAGAGCCTATCACTTCAGTCAACCTGAGTTCACTTGCCAAGAAAACACTGAATACTGGGAAACAAAACATAGAGAACAAAGAAGAGCAGGAAAAGAACAGACGGGATACCTTTAAAGGCCACCCAATCTGAATTCTTTTGGAGAACCTTGAGTCATAAGCCTTCAGTCTTTAATTGTATTGGAAGTCATATAATTTATATGTAATCCTACTGGACAGTCTTTTAATAAATG